CTCTACACTGGAAATTGACACAACATTGTAAACTGACTTTAACTCAATAAAATTTAAAAAAAAAGTAAATGTGTTTTCTAAATTGAAAATTCACATAAGTTGTAATTATTACCTAAAATATCTGAAATTCTCTTGCATGACATAAGCAGAAAGTTATCTCAGATTGCTGTACTTTTAGGCTATATACGTTTACCATATCAAAATGAAAAATAATGAATATATGTTATCAAATATCCCACTAAATGAATGTTAAATATGAAACCAGATTGGAAGCAACACATGTATCCATAGATGGAAGGAATTAATAAGTGAAATACAGTACATGCATGCAAAGGAATATTACTCAGCCTTAAAATGAAGGAGATTCTGATTCATGTTACAGCATGGATGAACGTTGAGGACATAATGACAAGTGAAAAAAAAACAATCAAAAAACAAAAGCAAAAGCAAATACTGTTTGATTTCACTTATCTGATGTTCCTAGAATAGTCACATTTATAGAGACAGAAAGTGGGACAGTGGTTGCCATGGCCTGGGGAGAAGGGAATGGAGAGTTCTCGTTCAGTGGATTTCAGTCTGAGTAGATGAAAAAAGTCCTGAGCATTCATATTGGTGATGGGTTCACAAATATATGAAAATATTTAATGCCACAGTATTGACAATAAACTTAAAAATGGGTAAGATGGCATCAAAAAATTAATTTAACACACTTGCCCAACACCCTCCAGTTATACTTAGTTACCTGTTAATTTTTAAATAGATTTAAAATTCTGTCAATCTTCAACAATAAAAAGAGATGGAAATAATGGAATATAAGGTCTTGTGTCAAAAAAAAAGTTAGAAGGGTTTGAAGTCCTTCAGAAGAGCAATACCGATATCTATAATTAAGAATTGCATATAGTTACTAGTGGTTCAAACTGCATGTTAGATATATGAGATTGTGCAGATTACAAAGTTTTGGCAAATGTGAAATACATTTGACAAGGAAGAAGTGTATTTCCATGACATCTAACTTTAAAACAATCAACTAAAACCCTCAGGTAGAATGCTGTCAGTACAGAGGTGGTGTTGACGCAATGGAGTTCGGGACTGAGTGACCCTTTTTGCACTTCCTTTCTCCATCGTGATTGGCAGTCAAGTATGGGATGAATGTAAAAAGTGGGAGTAAAGGGAGGTGGAAGAGATGGACTCCCTCTGCCCTGTAACATCGCTGAATCACACCGTATCTTTGATACTGAATTAGCATCCTCCTCATCTCTGCAGGTATGATTGTATTTATTCAACAAGCTAGGGCAGTTTCAGCTCCAGGAGATCAGAGACAAAAATACCTTTAAGGACTTAGGTCCTCTTAGAACTGAAGAAGAATCACTTATTTCTGTGGTTGGGTGAAGAAGTAAGGAGTTTTATTTTCTCTTCTTCACCCAGTAAAGATTATGTTTCTATGACTTTGACCAGGACAGATCTCGTTACACAAAACGTCATTTTACAGTTACAGTTTCCCTTCAGTATTAGAGGGTTATATTGGGAGAACATATTCTAAGAAGATCATTACTGTTTTCAATGCACAGCTTGGCAAAGTTAAACTAAATGAACTAACAATTCTAAATAAACTTATGTTTCTACCTGCAGCCTCGATACTCACAGTTCCTAGGACTAAGGATGTAAGTTTTCTTGTTTGCAAAGTGAAAATGCCTCCCTAGA